AAACGACTTTTGTGCGCTCATGAAAACCCAAATATTGCATTGATTCCTCTTGTGAGGTGTTGTTGAAGGCTTCCTTCGTGATGTCAGGTGTTGCCTCAGGTTCGTCTCCCGGCGTTACTTTTTTTATTCTCTTTAATTGGGTTTCGCGTTATCTATGATTAGTTCAGCACTTCTTTTCTATCGAATGGGTCTATGTATGTGGGTACCTCATACCTAGTAAAGAAAGAGCGACAGTTTGCAACGGATCAATCCGTAATAAACCGTCAACTCTGCAAAATTCAAAGGCGCATTCCCGAATCAAACTGGCAGGCTTGTGCACGCGAATACGAGCGTATTGGCGGAAACCATGGGAAGCACGGTGCGAAATGGGCCGGCAGTACGGCAAAAAAGGGAAAGAATCTCTCGAAAACACTAGTTTAACCCTTAGACTACGACTTTTTTAAAACAAGTTATCGATGTGTTTTGTGTAGTAACTATCGCTCCTAGCAACAACTAATCATCTGTAGAAATTTGGCTGACGTGCGCTGGGTTTGACCTGGGATTTGATCCAGGGACCATGTGCGCGGTATGCGTCACCACACATCTCCGCTCAAATGAGTATTTTTGAAATTCAAATTGGCGATCTAATTACCATACATTCTGGAATACACATTCTTCACAATTTGATCGTGGAACAAAGCCAACGTCCGGATGGATCCCTTTTGGAAAGAGTTGCAAGCCGCACACTGTAGAGACGCTTCGGGTCTCAACGGCTGCTTCCTGCTCTGCCAAACTTCTGCTACTTCGTCATCATCTGACTACTTCGAAGTCCAGTATATCATCATACGAGTCTTCCAATTCCTCCTCCGCACCATTCGATCTGTCGAGTTGGAAGCACAGCAGCTGAACACTGTCGCAAGAGGCCGCGACGCCTTCTGGCCGCTTTTCCGCTGATAAAATGCCTCATCTGTCATCGGTCTGTTTGCTCACGTTGCGCTGATACAAGGAATTCAAGGAGATACTAGGACTATAGCGCGAGTGTTGAGAGTTGGGCGACAACTAATATTATACGATAGAAGATTTTGGGGTGTGTCTCAAGTGGTACGATTGGAAATTTCAGCACCTAATTAGTGCTGCGTCGCGACGAGGTGCGAAGTGACCTCAAATTTTGGCACCTAATTAGTGCTGCCTCGCGACTAGGCGCCAGCTACCTGTGGGCGAGACGCGCCGTACATGTCCATAACGGTGCAAAAGATAGGCGGAAGGGAGGAAGGTGATTTCAGATAAAATGTGATTATTCATTCATTATTACTACACTGCGACGCATAATCTTAGTTCCACCTACAAATTTCCCAAAAACTAGAAGTTGGAGATGTTTTTGAAAAGGGCTCTACAGACAAATTGTGACACATGCAAATGCGAATCTGAATATTATCACGGAAATCCAGTTTGAGAAAGCAAAAAATTTTTTATCCTCATTTTTTCGAAAATACCCGACTTGCCCGCAAAATCATAGTTGGTTTGTCATATTCACACATGTTTCTGTTGTTTCTGTGTTATACGACGAATGGTTCCACCACATGTTTCTCTGCTGCATTTTGCTTTTACCCAATCAAATTTTGAAATTATTACCCACTCAAGTCCCTTAGCTTATAGCAAAGGCAAAACCGCTGTCGAACTTCCGTAAAAGGAAAACCCTAGCAAAAGAGACGCAGGAGTTGTTGAAGTGTCAGCTCACGCTAGAATTTGTCGGGGTGGCTTCATAACGAACAAGTTTCTCAAGGATGCTACAGGATATGATTCTGGGAAGAACCCTGATTACTATCCGACCGAGATAAGCGCCGTATCGTGAGAAAATAATACGACTTTATCCAGACGGGTACGGAAATCAAAACTTCTTCAAAGTTAGTGTCTCAATGGAAGCAGTTTCACGTGTTTTACAACACGCTCGTGACAGTCCATGCTGGAGGATAAAAAATACGCTTTAGTGAAAAGAAATCAGAGAAGAAAACGAGCCTTTTTCTCAAAAAGTTTTGCTAAGTAGAGAGCGAAGTGAGGACACTTTTTTATCTGTGATATTTTGGAACCTCTGACCATCCTCCTGGTCATTTTCTTCTCCATGCAGCGTTTAGGACTACTAACATGATAATAATGAATAATTATAACAATTGGAATAATAATAATAATAATAATAATAATAATAATAATAATAATAATAATAAGAGTAATAATAATAAATATGAACGTCAATTTTACTTTGATTTGTTCACAGGAGTCAGAAGATTGAAAAGTAGTAATAATGAATGAATAATCACATTTTATCTGAAATCACCTTCCTCCCTTCCGCCTATCTTTTGCACCGTTATGGACATGTACGGCGCGTCTCGCCCACAGGTAGCTGGCGCCTAGTCGCGAGGCAGCACTAATTAGGTGCCAAAATTTGAGGTCACTTCGCACCTCGTCGCGACGCAGCACTAATTAGGTGCTGAAATTTCCAATCGTACCACTTGAGACACACCCAGGTTGGGCAAACATTGATCAGTAACCTGCAGTATGACTTGCTTTACTGACTTATCATTGCTTTGACTTTTCGACAGTGCTAACAAAATAGGAGGTATAAAGATTCTATTTGTGCACAATCCCGCTATCAAGCGGGCGCTCCTGTCTCGGGAAGCCCTAAAATTGTGGTAGTGCCTTTGACTATGAAAGTGGCACGCATGTGTACCAACAGTTGTCAAAGGGTTAAGGGCTTGCTCACCTCACCATCAGCAATGTGGATGTGCTAAGGCAGAGACTAAAGCGCCGATGAGGAGTTGTGGGGGCGAGCCGAGCGCAACAGATGCCGGGTGCTCAGACAAAGCAGTTGAAAATAATTGCAACTGTGCAGCTCAACGTTGTAAGGCCCTATCATTGTCTTTTGTTCATTGTTTATTTATTACGTTGCGTAAGGCAAACGTTAGAAAAGAATACAACACACAGTGAGAAAAATGATGAGTCATACAATTATGGAGATGGGATTTCAGGTGAATCTCAAATAACTAGGATATTCTGTAACTTAGAAGTTTAGTAGAAATCTGTCTTTTGAACTTTTTCAATGTATTGGGAATAGCAATATTTTTTGTTATCTTTATATATGAGCTAGCAGCTCTGAATGTAAATTTTTTGCTGTATTGACAAGATTGGTTCTAGATTATCATTGTAGTGTGATTTCCGTGCACGAGACGGAGTACTATACCTGTGACGTATACCTATACCGACATATACCGTTCTATACCTTCACAGCCTAATCCTACAGACCTAACAAGGGAGGTCTTTCAGGGCAAGCCGCGCTTTTTGGAAACGGTTTATTGCATATTGTAGGGACGCATGTATGGACCACAAAACCATGTTTCGTTTTCGCTGAACGGTTTCAGTAGTATCAAAAAAGTGGTGAATACCCTTGATGGTTCGATCCCCCGGCGACTAAATTTTGCAATCAAGGTTGGCGGCCACTTGTTGGCTTCAAAATGGTCCTGACGATGAATTTGACATCTGATTTTGATATTTAGCGCGATTTGGCACCAAACCGTAGGCGCCAACCCAAATGCAAAATTTAGTCGCCACGGGGGATCGAACCCTTAACAGTACCTTATGCTTCTTTTTTGGTACTGCTATAACCGTTCAGCGAAAATGAAACATGGTTTTGCGTTCCCTACATGCGTCCCTACAATATGCAAAAACCGTTTTGAAAAAGCGCGGCTTGCCCTGAAAGACCCCCCCCTTGTCAGAGAATCGTTCATACCACATCTGCCTGCCTTTGTGCCTTTGAAGACATTATATACTAGTACTTGTATTGTTTATTGTCAGTTAACGGTGACCGTCAAAAGGGGGTAAGTTGGCAGCGGCTTTTCCAGTCAATGCTTCGTTCGCACCTGATATCTTCTCAGTGATACCGTATTTGCCATTCCATAGTGTACGACAATGCCTTCAGCGAATTGACATAAAAAAAACCCTCGAACGTGAGAGTGACCATTGCGAAAATGAAGAAAAAGGGAGGGCGACAATGCAATGTGAGGCGCAGTTGTCCTGGAATGTGCCCCAGGAGCAACGTTAGTAGGCTGGCCGGGCCGCCCTTTTACTGGTCGCTCCGCCCATTGTTGCAATATCAATCGTCCGTCGTATCACTTTTCGCTGTGCTCTCTCGTCTCCGCCTGTCGTTGTCTAACATCATCGTCCATTACCTCTTATCTCGCTACCTGCCTCTTGACTAAGACTCCTTCACTCCATAGAACAAGAAATCCTGTATTCTCACGGTTCACTTTGCACCTGTACATAGTGGCCCATATGAAACGCGACGGGCTAGAAAATTCATTTTCGGGCATTTTTTTGTTTTGCTATGGTGCCATTCTTTTCTCTTAGAGCCTACTCTTTTGATTGCAAGTTCCACGATTCGCGGAAAAGAGCTCTGGTGAAGGCATGGGACGAAGTCACTCCGGACATGATCGCGCGCATCCTCAAAGAACTTTCCGGATGGGGTTAGATGCTTCTGTTTGGTTTAAGCATTAGTTTTAAAATGCAGAGCTTTTGTGTCTTATCAAGTGAAGGTAGACTTTTATTATTTGTTCGCTGGCGTTGCGGACGCTTTGGTCACCGTTCATGTGCTACCATCCTATACTTCCATAAGAACGGAGACATCAATCGACTTAACACGGGGTGGAAATTTTAATGCATTAGTGTACATACATAGTTTACCAGCTTTATATTTGGCTCCATTTGAAGTTATCACTGAATTCTTTCCAGCGAGCATTCTTTGGGAAGATTTGCTTTCAGATAAGGACGACCCTCATACGGACGTGACACGATCATTGAGATACTGTCGGCGTGGCCAGAAAAACAACGTGGAGTCCAACATATCAACGTATATTTCGGGCATTATACCAGATGGCTCTTGGAAGGAAATGCAAAAGGAAACAGAAAATTCGTCGTGAGTGAAATTACATATGCGTTATTCAATTACTAATGCTTTGCTTAAGTATTAAAAGAGAGTTTTCAGGGACTCATGAGTTTCGTGCCAGTAGGTCGGAAAGCTGGGAAAGTCAAGGTGAGTTGAGCTTTCAAATCAGCGCAACCATGACTGTGCTCTTCTGAGTGACCCTCGGAAACTTCATATATCTAGATAAGGGGAGAGGGTTAGCAAAGCCTCATCAGTATTGAAAAGACTCAAGTTGTAAGCTGAACGATGTAATAACCTTGCTAATGTATAAGATACCATAAGAGGAAAGTGCTGTATTCAGTCTATGAACAAAGAGTATTTTCTATTAAGAAACGAGAAATAAAAATTACTTTCGAAGATGGTTTTTTTTTGTGAACGGACCCACTTTCACCCCGCCTACTCCCATCGACCCATTAGGTTTTGGTAACACTGAGATTGATTTCCAACCCTAAGTAGCAGTGCAGAAAATATGGATGTCCTGATCAAGGTCTCGAAAAGGTGATTCTGATGACGTGACAGTGTGCTGGCAGAGCAAGCCCGATCATAGCCAATCTCTTGCGGAGGAGGATAGCTGTCTTTGAACTTGCCTGAGTATTGGAACGCTCCTCTGGCCGATGCGATATTGCATGGTGGTGTGGCCATAGTAGTAATTAGGCCACACCATCAATGGTATGGTGGGGGAATCTTCTTGCAACTGAGAGGCAGCACTGGTGATAAATCCAATGTCTATAAAGGGAAAATACGCAAGCTGCGAGAGCTAGAAACCAACCAGCGAGAGATAGGTGACAGTTTTCGTAATGGGTATGAGCAGCGGTGGTAGACTTCGCCCAAGAAGCCAGCTCAGTCCACCAGGGTCAACCGTTACGTTGGACCGATATTGGAGCGACGTTGGACCGATGTTCACCGCTCTCCGCGCCGGCATTCACTCTCGCCACCCGCGAGCCGTCTGTGTCTCCGTGCGTACGTTCACTCTCGGCATTACTCTCGTCGTCGCGTTGGACTTTGTCCAACGGACGGTTGACCCTGCCTCCACCCTCTTCCCTCCAGTTTCACTATATTGAAAAACCGAATCAGATTATAGATAGCTGCCTTCTCTGAACTGGCCCAGACATGAGATGAAAGTTACCGCTCATAACTTGCCCGTTTGTTTCTAAAAAATTTCTTCAGAGCCTCCTCAAGGTGCAGATATACGATCCTCCAACGGTTTCAATAAATGAAGTATGGCCAGAAGATAAACTGACGGGAAGATCTCGTGGGAGCAGTCAGTTTCGGAATTAAGCTCTCAGGAATGCGAGATGGTTAATTGTAAGGTGGTGCAAGAACAAATAGAGCAACATCGCGGAGCATAGGTTGTACAGAGAACCCTAGCTTTCAAGGGTCGGACAGGTAGGACGTCTATGAGGCCGCGCGCAGGAAGTACCGACATCCGATGCGGCGGAGTAAGTGACTTTGTCACTAAAGTGCCGTCTCGTTGATATTACCACGTGGGCGAAGTACTTTCTCAGATAATGCTCCAGCAGAAACCACCGAGTTACGGGCCGCAGCAGTGTCGGCAGCATATGCTGCCGACACGCCCACTCGTCCGTGATTGGCTACCACCACAAAGGTTACTGCGTGCAGACACGAGCCAGCCAGTCAGAGACTAGTGGGCGTGTCGGCAGCATATGCTGCCGACACTGCTGCGGCCCGTAACTCGGTGGTTTCTCCTGCACGACTACCTGAGTAGTACGTCGCTTTCGCCGCAACGCCGTAACGTTGCCTCGTGACAGACATCACTAGTTTCCTCATCAGATTGTCCTCAGCATCCTTCACCAGCTTGCATTGTAAAGCTGGAATATAATCATGTTCGTCAATTCAATCACTAATGCATCTAACTGGGCTCACGTCCAACTGAAAATCATTTTTCATCTTGTGCAGATTTTTAAAATTGACAGATTACCTTTTATTCAAGGACAGCGACGTGATGGTATTCGTCAGGCGTGTGTTGAGAAAAGAATTTCCTGACGGGAATCTGAAGCTGGTGAAAAGTCAAGAGCTACCGATTGAGACTGTCTTCAAGAAGACGCTGGAATTTAATGGAAAGGAAAAGGTAAATGAAAGATTAGGCTCAGAGGAACGCAGCTGAAGCACAAATGCGGGTACCCCTTATTTGCATCATTATGAAACTCCCTATTTGACCAATAAGCAGGATAAAACCATAGTAACTACAATTTCAAAAGGAGGAAGAGGGTTTTAGCAAGAAGTGACCGCTCACAGTTGTCACCCTTCTTTAGTGCTGTTTACTCTCAATTGCATCAAGTAACACACCTTTCCCACTTTTCTGTCCTCACTCAGATGCTTACGTTCTCGCCGGTACCGCGTGTCTACTAGTTTTCAGCGACGCCTAAAATTAGGTAGCTGCGCCGCGCGCGGTACTATGCAATGTACGCAAAATCTCGGTGATTTCTCCACAAACCAGTACGAACGTATCCATCAAATCGTATTATAATAGAAGCGCGATCCTCTAGTCTGTTGAAGGAAGCGATTTCCTGGTCATTCTGGAGAATGATAGCACAAAGCGCCATTTTCTGGGAGAAACACGCCACAATATCAGAAGACATGCAGGTTTCTGGTCTGACATGTCGCCTGCGTTGGGCTCACTCGGATTTGGCTGACAACCG